GAATTGTAGCATTGAATGTTGTGGTATTGGTAGACTAGGAAGGTGATCTGGGTGGGGAGGTCCCATCCAGCGCTGGGCTGCTCATGCTTCTTTCTGCAAATGCTGAACCAAGTCAGGGTGGGGTTCCATCTTGGAACATTCTTCCAGTGCAAGGTGCTGTTCCTCATGGTGTTTATGGTTATGAAGACCCAGGGGGCAATGCAGATTGCTCATCTGGGCTGCAGCTGGATTCCTGCGCTTAATCTGGAATCTGTTCATTCTGACTTATCCAGCTGCGGCTGGGCGTCCCTCAGTCTGGAGCCCTTCCAACTCTGACTGCATCTACATAAACTTAACACAACAAAGAACTTGAGTATACACATATGCATGCATTCACTTCAATTTTGACAATGTGTCAACAAAATATTCTTTATAATAAAATAAGTCATTGGCAGAAAAAAATTCTCTGCAGCAAAAACTGCAATGCCCTATTATACTGGCCTGGGGACTCTGGAAACTGAGCCTTGGGAAATTATTGAGGCAAGGGAGCCCTTCAGTTGTTCCTAACGCCTCCTGATGTCCATGTGCCCAGTGTATAATCTACTACCTTGAGGACTTCTTAAAAGGCTTGTAACACCAATATGCAGGAATCAGCCTCAGTCAGTCCACACTATGGATATAAATGCCCCTACTGACTCCAGAGACTCTTACTGCTCTGACCCCTAAGTAGGGGAGGGTGGCACTAGGCATTTGCTTAGCCCAGTGTTAGTCATTGCTACTTGGCTTTTCAAGGAGTTCCTTTGTAACGTGATGACTTATGTGTATTTGTTACATTTAACTTTATGTGTGAGATGTGACATCCAGATGACCTAGTCCATTTCCGACTTTGGACTTTTGATTTGCTAGCCTATGGTATCTGGTAGGACACTTTCCTCATATTTTAAGGTAACAAGATTTAAACTCTTTTTATGTTGTGTTTGTACATACTTTAAGAAGCCTCCATCACTATCATCTATCATTGCATAGGTTTCCATTTTACTTTTTCAAAAGGCCTTTAGTTTTAATTCTCCTTCCCCATACCCCTTCTCTACTCTGCCATTCTACTCCCCACCCATTTAACCCTTCCTACTCCATTACTTCCCTTTCCTCCTTTATATCACTGCATTCCATCTGCCCTCTTGTGCAGCCTCCCCACTCCCTCTACAGTTCCTTACTAGCTTCTTGATGCCTATGAATTTTCCCACGGAAACATGCAGTTCCTGCTTTATATCACTGCATTCCATCTGCCCTCTTGTGCACCCTCCCCACTCCCTCTGCAGTTCCTTACTAGCTTCTTGATGCCTATGAATTTTCCCACGGAAACATGCATATCTAAAGATTCAAAGCTAGCTTCCACTAATGAGAGACAACATCCAACATTTTAGTTTGGGGGCTGGGTTACCTCACTCAGGATGATTGTTCTTACCATTTACCTGATACTATCATGATTTTGTTTTAAAGAGGTAAATAATATTCCATTGTGTAAATGTACCTTATTTTCATTATCCATTCAACAGACGATGGACATCTAGGTTATTTCCATTTTCTAGCTTTTGTGAATAGAGCAACAATGAGTATGGATGAACAGGTATTACAGACGTAGGATATATAATCTTTTGGGTATATGCCCAAGAACGGTATGCCTGGATCATATGTTAGACCAAAGCTTCAGAATCTTTGCAGAGGAGGGTACAGAAAGACTGTAAGTGCCAGAGATGGTGGATGGCTGGGAGAAACAGTTTTCCCAGACAACAGGGCAGTTACTTGTATTGATTCATAGTAATTGTGACAACATGCACAAGATCTATGTAGCTCAAGCCAGATGAATTCCCAGCATAGAGTGGATGAGGTGGATAAGAATCCCTAACCCTATCTGAGGGACTATTGGCAACTGAAAGTTACTGTGTAAGCAAGAGTAAGTTTTCTTTAAGGGTATGATGCTGGGTAGGTTGACCAAGCTTTGTGGGATGAATACACACCAGAAGGCATTTGGGGACACAAATAAGATTTGACAGGCCTTACAAAATGTCATAGAGTATATGAAATCAGGCAGGTTATGCTAAAGGAACTACAGTTGGGGGAGGAGTTTTGTCTGAATATGATCAAAATGCATTGTATGAACTCAAAAATTCAATAAAACAATTTTTAAAAGAAAATTTAAAAAGAATTGTATTTATATAGCTGAGATACACAAGTTGTGGCACCAATTATTGTTAGAATACGGGCATGTCCATTTAAGACACAGACCACCTTTAAGAGACCAGATCCCATGGCCTAAAGAAATCAGGCCATATCCCTCTGCAGGCGTCTACTGGGGCAGAGAATAAGAAATCATGTTTGCTATGGTTTTACAACTCCAAGTGAATTTTCAGTCCCACCCAGGTTCTGGCTCCTCCATGTCCTTATCCCATATGTGATCCTAGACTAAATCATATGATATAAAACTTTCTGCCAGTCCCTTCCCATCAAAACATTTGAAAAGTCAGGTATCCCCTTTGGGGGATTTCTACAAATGCTCTCTATTCCAGGCATCCTTGTTCTATCTCTCTCATGATGACTTTATCTCCCTCTCTTCTTAGTTTTTTATTTTTATTGAAATTTTGCAATTTTCACAGGATATAATTTGATGGCATTTAGAGCCATTCCCTCATGCACACGCACCCATTACTCCCCTCCCAATTCAGTGTACTGCTCTTCTTGTTTTCAGCTACAACTCATAATGAAATTCCTCTTCAGGTTTAGATAAAAGCTTCTCTTTCCTTATAAAATCTTGTTATGTTGTTGTAAATACATTGTCTCTTTTTACTGCTATCCCAACCCAAGATCCAAAACCAGTCTCTAGTCCCTGTTTCCTAATAAATCTCATTCCTGAGGGCTTATTATGTGCTACCTTTTTTCATAAATCAGCAGTCACACCACCTTCATATATATATATTAGAGAGAGAGAGAGAGAGAGAGAGAGAGAACGCATTTGGGAGTCATATAGCAAATCACAAAGCACTGTAAATATCACAAGCAGGGGTTGTTTGAATATACAGAACTAGAATGTCAATAATAGCCATGGAAAGATACGTGAAGGGCTGTGGTCTGAAATCTGAAATATCTCATGAGGATTATATATGAATATTTGATTCCAGCTTGTGATCCTATTTTGAAGGGTCCTGGAAACTTTGGAAGTAGGTCTTAGCCAGAGGAAATAATTCACTCAGGGCAGCTCCTTAGGATTACATTATCCATGGCCATTTCTGTTCTTACTCTCTGCTTCCAGGCTAAGCATGGCATAATTAAGTGTCTGCAGCCTGCCTTCCTTCTCATGATGGATTTAAACCATGGAACTAAATAAATATTTCCTTTTAAATTTTTCTCAAAATTTTTGGTCATGATAAAGAAACAGTAACTGAAAGAACTCCATTATTTCAAGGAAGTAGGTACTAGAAACAGGGTCTCCCTTGTGCTTATAGAGTACATTTGTCCTAAAGTAAGAGGCTCCAGCACCTGCTGTCTTCAAAGCTGTCCAGGAAACACAGGGAGGGGTCCTGATGGCTCTTTCCCTAAACAAAACCCTGGTGATTCTGTACTCCTCACTCCAACCAGTCCATGCATCTTTATGCAGATGCTTGTGGATGCTGAAGCTTCTGCCTTTGTCTTCCATGTCTCCTAATAAGGTCTTTAATGCAAGAAATTGGAGAATAAAGTGGATATCTAGGAAGCAATCATCCAGAAGAGTTGGTGATGATGGAGATTTGACAAAAGATAATATTAAGTTATCTTAATATCATGTTAGGAACACTCTTTTTTTTAACTTTTACAAAAACTTTATTGAGAATTTCATACATGTATATAAGGTATTTTAATGAAATCCATGCCCACTCCCTCCCCTCCAACATTCCCCCCTCTGAAGAGGTAACCCTAAAATCTTGTAAGGATTAGATACAAGCTCCCAAATACTTTGAGACAGAGTGTGTTTCTAACAGGCCCAAAGACATTTTTACTTTTAGCCCCGAAACTGGCTACGTTTTGGGGGGTCTTTTTACCCTAACTGTCTAGCTAATTCCTCCCTCCTATTCTTATCACACCATCCTCTGAAGACATTACCAAATTGCCAATAGGGAATAGAGACGCAGACCACTCTGGCTTCTTCCATGGTGAACGGGGACGTAATGTGAGGCAGTTGGAGTACCCCTTCATTGGGTCTATCTAAAAGACTCCCAAACTGCATAACTCTTGTCTCCAAGGGGAAAAGAAAGTCCTTGAATCATGAATAGGAGATGTGAAGGAGAAGAAAATGCAAGAATACTCCTTAAGTCACAAACTGAATGGAAAAATGGCATTAGTATGTAGCAACCTTTAAAATTCTCTTTTTCTCTAATATGCAAATACCTTCCTTCCTGCTCAAAAATTTCCAGAAGGCAGACTGGTTTCTAACAAGCTATCTTTCTTTTAGTAGAAGCTCCTATTGACCTCTGGAATAATGGCAATAAATAATCCTCATTTTTGTTTGCCTTCTTTAGAACTGCTCAAAGAAGAATTCTGTCATGATATTTGATAGTGAGGATAGGACAGTGCAATATTCTATTAGTGCAATAAATAACTACAAACAGGTGCCAGAAAGAGGTGGGGACTGCAGTATCACCAGTAGTTTGTTTCAGGTACATGAATGACAGATTTCAGTAGTATATGCTTATATAATCAGAGATTGTCTCCAATGTCTAGTATCAACTTTCCTCACCAAGCTGACACCACCTAATGTAAGTCTTTTAATAGTTGTTCTATAGATTCTAAATTCCTATCACTGTCTTTTGCATTATAGGAACATAACTGATGATACAAGTCATATGTCTTGAGTCATAACCTCTGTCCTTAGTGATGTGAACATGACTATAGTTACTCTTTTTTTCTGGTAAGGCAGAATACGTTTCCATGGCTGCTTTTATTAAAACCTTCCATTGGCTTCAAAGGCTCATGGAATCTGAGAAATGTTTTCAGCAGATGGAGGTGCCCAGAAGAACAGCTGTGGTACCAAACCTGAAACTCTGGCTTCCTTTGGGGGTTTTTGTTATGATTTATATCACTGTGGGAGGGTACTCTTTATAATGTTGACAGTAATAAGTTGCAATGTCTTCAGACTCCACGCTGCTGATGGTGAGAGTGAAATCTGTCCTAGATCCACTGCCACTGAACCTTGATGGGACCCCACTTTCCAGATTGGTTGCGCCATAGATTATGAGCATAGGAGCTTTCCCTGGTTTCTGTTGATACCAGTTTAAATAAGAACTAATGTCCTGACTGGCCCGACAACTGATGGTAACTCTGCCTCTCAGTGATACAGACAAAGATGGAGATTGAGTCAGCTGGATGACACCTTGGGCACCTGAGATAAGAAACATGCAACAAACACACTCTGTAAATTATGCCACAGGAGAAATCACCAGAAGCAGGCAACACTTATCACACTGGGCTAAGCAAGTCCACAGTGTTGTTCTTCCTTACCTGGGAGTGAGAACAGCAGGAGCCCCAGGAGCTGAGCAAGGGCCATGATGTCTCTATTCGGGTCCTGAATGACACTGACACCTGCGCTTGTTTTGGCCAGCTTATTAAGAAGTCTTCAGATCAGTGGGCTGTGCTCTGGGTACATGCAAATCATGAAGGTTTTGGTGAGACTGGACAAAGCTTCAGGACTGGTTCATCTTAATAATGCAGCAAAACCACCAGGTCCTCCGGTGTCCTAGGCCAGAATAGGAATGTATAAATTTTTCTACAAAGAATGTAGTGATGTCTAGGGGCCATTATCAGTGTTGTCTCCTGTAAAAACATGCTATTATAATTTGGTTAACTCCAGTTGCAATAATGCCTCTGCTGCTGTTCCATTTAGGACAAGGATTATTCATAATGCTCAATCCTAAAAATGTAAAAACTTTCACAGACTCCTTTCATTGGTGCCTGTCTATATAACTGATGGCAAACTGAAACAGATGAACAATAATAACAAGAACTACAGTAAAGCAGAGTCATGATTTATAATAATGTGTGGGATCTGCCATCACTAATCTGTGATCCTTAGCTAGGCAATATTCCTTATTCTGTTTTTGATTTCTCTATAACACTACTTCCATCATTGACACCCAAAGTTATGGATTTCCCCTCATCTCATTTGAATGAACGGGCTTCCTTCCCAGCCTTGCTGATGATTTCATGCATCTCTGCCTAATATTGCCAGATCATACTTATTGCTTTTGTTCTCCATCTAGTGTTACCCCAAGTCATTGTCTTCAAAATTGGAAGCCCTCTTAGTACCATGTTCATTCCTTTGGATCTACCATGTTCTTAAACTTGCATATTCGATCACCATCAAAGTGCTTACATCTTCTCAATGAGTATGGTTGGGACAATGGGTCCTAAAGAGTGTGAGTGGAGAAGCATGCAAAAAAGATAATAGACACTCTTCATGGGGAGTTGCAACCACAATAAAGTACAGAGAGGGTCTTCACATGGTAGGAACTGTGTGTACTGTTGGCTCAGACTGTCAAACCAAGATAGGTGGAACAAGAAAACCATTTATTTAAGTAGATTTCCTTTGTGTAGGAGTCACATTCAAACTGGGTATGGCAGACAGCCATCCAGGTATGCAAAGGTGTGATCTCCACATACAGAGTATCAAAGTAGACCAACTGGGTATAGATATTTGCAAAGGAAGAATAGAGTTGTTGACCAATAGTGGGAGATTTTGAACACAGGATTGAGCCAATAAGTAAATAAATGAATCAAAATAAGATCCATGCTCTTGACTATTAGGAAAAGAAACTATGAATTTGAAAAGAGACTAGACTCCAGTGCATAAATTTGCACTGAAGAATACAAATGCTTAACTGCCTATGACTTAACATGTATAAGGTCTGGTGTGAGGGCATGGTAGAGAGTCATAGATGGGAGAGGGGTTCTGAATTTGATTAAGAACTCCTGTATGGGGGCTGGATGGATCAGTGGTAAGAACACTGGTTGTTCTTGCAGAAGACTCAGGTTTGAATCCAAGCACCCAAGGCATAGGTGGGAGAAGGGTTCTGAATTTGATTAAGAACTCCTGTATGGGGGCTGGAGAGATGGATCAGTGGTTAAGAACACTGGTTGTTCTTGCAGAAGACTCAGGTTTGAATCCAAGCACCCACATGGCAGCTAACATAACTCCATAACTCCAGTCCCAAGGGACCTGACAGCCTCTTCTGATCTCTGTGAGCATTGCACAACATGAGTGCACTTACCTACATGCAGGCAATACATGTATGCACATAAAATAAAAATAATAAATAAATTTAAAAAAGAACTCCTGTATGAAATGTATAAAAGCTCAGTTAAAGAAAAAAACTAAAAAGAAAAGAGTGCATCAAAATAAACTATGGGTTGTTAAAAATAACATTTTCAGGCCTGGAGAGATGGATCAGTGGTTAAGAACACTGTTCTTGCAGAAGACCTAAGTTCGAATTCCAGTACCCACATGGCAGCTAACAACTGTCCATAACTCCAGTTCCAGGCTATTCAACAGCCTCTTCTGTCCTCCATGGGCATTGCACAACATGGGTACACTTACCTCCATGCTGGTATAACACTAAAACACATAAAATTAAAAAAAATAACATTTTCAATGCATATTTTAGCTAGAAATATAAACACATAAACATATGTGTATAGAGAGCTACATTGATAATTTCCCTTAGTTTAGAAGAAATGAGTCGTCTAGTCATCTAAAGCTCCAGGAACATTTTAATTCTGAAAATTAAATTGAAATAGTTCATTTTTGGAGGAATATCTATTTCTGAACTCAGAATAAGGAAAATACAAGACTATACTTTCAGGGATCATTTATATAGTTCTTTACTAGAGAAGTTTCTCTGACTGTGTAAAGTACCAGAAACCACAAGGAGAAGACATAACATTCTCTACTGAGTGTAAAGCCAGAGAAGCCAGATCCTGGTGCTGCTTCCCTGCAACTGCCACTTGTCATTAATAATTGTTATTCTCTCTTCCGGGAGTAGAGGAAGAGAATGCAGTCTGAGTGAATAATAATAATTTAAAAAATAAGGAAAATACGAGATGAAACTTGATTATTTTTCATCTAAAAGAACTCTTTAAGCATCAGGGGATCAAATGATCACAAATAGAAGCCAATTTGGACAGCAATTGAGCAAATCTGAAGACTGAAAACACATAATGATTAATAAATGACTACTATGCTATGCCAGCTGAAGAAAATAGGAAACTATGAAATCAACTAATATTTAAATTATAATAGAGATTAATCAAGTATCAAAGACTTCTATATGAATGGTCACTAATTTAAATGGGGATTGTAACTGCTGCAGAGAATTTCAGCAGACACCATTATAATCCAAGATCAAAGTGAACATCATAAAATAATGGGATCACCTAAAATCCTATACCCTCTTTTGAGAATAAATACACCAGCTCCACAGATTGTAGATTGTTATTGTATTTAAAAACAAGGCTTCAAGAGAGATAATTATATTCAGGTAATTTTAGTGATTCCTAATCTAATATTTCCAGTGCGCTAAGAGGAGAACATTTCTCTGTCAGCTATACCTCACCAATAGTGAAACAAGGATTGTCTCATTTTTAAGCCACGCAATTTGTGGTACTTTGCAAATTTTCTCTGAACTTTCCCCTGGAGAGAAATACAGAAATTTCTATTCATCCTAGAGAAGATACCAACAGAGCATACTATCCATACTGTCCATGTCTGGGTAGGTTTATAAGGATCACCTATAGGATCAAGGCTGGGGGGTTATTTAAAGGACTATGGATGACTGAAAGGAAGGTGCATAACTGACTGAAAACTGACTCCACCATCAGTGATGATTCACAACAGCTTCATCACTGGAGCCTTCAGCCCAATCAACCTTCTATATAGTATATCAAATACATGTCACTGGGTCAGGAATGCATTCAGCTTTGGGGGATAGGAGGGAGTGGCTAGACTCACAGGTGAAAATTGATTACTCATCACTTTCTTTTCACTTGGAAACCTCAACAAACCCAATCTTGTGAGGATCCTGTGTAGTTAATCAAAGTTGCTGTACTTGGAAGACAGCACTAGCTATATGATTCCTGGAAGACAAAGTTCTACCACACTTTCCTAGAATATATATACACTGTCAATGAGACATTACCTGAAATTAATCATGAGGCAAAAAGCAAATCTAAAATGAGGGACATAATATAAGTAACTAGTATATAATCTTCAAAAGTGATAAGATCTGAAATTCAAGGAAAGACCACAGGCAGTTCCAGCCAAAAGAAGATAGAGGAGTCCTGGAAATAAAAAAAAAAAGACATCTGGTAAATCTGGGTCATTCTGATACGAGGCATTATAGGAACAATTGGCATAATGTGAATTGGATGTGAATAATAGCACAAAAACATATAAGGCAGATTACCTGATAGGTGACTTTTAAACATAGAGAAAGAGGGTCCTGTAGAGGGTTCTTGGTCTCATTCATAAAAGAATTTAAGAATGGACCCAAACAGGAACTTTTGCAATTTTATTAGAATCTTAAAGAAAAATCCTCAGGGTAGGTGAGCTGGTAATCTTGGAAGCTGCCTTGAGGAGGTGAATAGTGGGAAGAACAAAGGAAAATTATGGAAACCATGCAGGTTTAGAGCCTGCATGAAAGTCAGACATGTGGATGACTGGTAACCACATGGCTGGGAGAAGGAAACTTTAGAGAAAAAGTGAAGAACTTCAAGATGCTAGGGGCAGCCCAAAGCTTTAGAGAAAGTATGTTTAGTAAGAAAGGCATGAAGAAGAAAAGGAGGAATTACACTTTCCTGAAGAGTTCAGGAAAGTGGGCAGATGGAGACCTACATGGCTGTGGCTGGTCTGGAAGTTCTGCGGGGATCTGAGCTAGTTCCGGACAGGAAATATTCACTACCTGATTAACACATCAGGTATTCCATCCATCTATTTAGCATAATTTAAGGTGAACCTGCCTTCCTGGGAGTGGTTCTAACACCAGGTAATTGACCAGTGAGACTGGAAAAGTGGGCCCTCCAACAGATAAACCAGACATTTTTTAGTTTTGACTAGTTCAATTTATGGGGCTCCCTGATACTCTGGAGGCTGTGAGAGTGGAAGCTGCTTTATGTACAAAGTCACTGAACTAGTTAGAAATCCAAGATACTGGGGAAGCGGCCCATGCAATGAGTTTAGGAGCTGTTCCTTGCTTCTGCTGACATCAAGCCATGTGATTCTTCTGGTTTTAGCTTCCTGAGACATTGATTAGACTGATGGTAACATTGTCTCCGGCAGACTTAACCGGAAGATCTGCATCCAACATGATGTCATCATGGGAATCTTTTCAATACAAAGTTGACAGTGACCATAAATTGTATCATTCACATAGTGAAAAGATAACTGGACTATTTAACCAAAAGACAATAGTTTTGATGTTATTTTTCATTCTGAAGGTTAGATACATCAGTCCTCAGCAATGACAGGGTTAAAAGTAGAGGGAACAAGTTGATGCAGTGGAACTTTTTTAATTTGAAGAATTTGAAATGTAATCTTATTAAGGTCAGTTAAGTCCTTGTTCTGTCTTTGGATGGTGGACATTGGTCTTTCAGCACATCATAGTGTTTTTCGGTAGCCCATTGCTGTTAGTACTGAATGGATTTTCAGGGAAATCATCTTGCAACATCACTAATAGTGTGACTGTATTTTTCCAATCCCCGGTGTGAGATGTGACATCCAGATGACCCAGTCTCCATCTTTACTCTCTGCATTTAAAAAAAATTTTTACAAAAACTTTATTGAGAATTTCATACATGTATAAAAGATGTTTTGATCAAATCCATGTCCATTCCCTCCCCTCCAACATTCACCCCTCTGAAGAGGTAACCCTAAAATCTTTTAAGGATTAGATACAAGCTCCCAAATACTTTTGACATTTTTGGCCTTGGAACAGCGTATGTTGCTAATAGGCCCAAGGACACTTTGACTTTTAGCCAAAAAACTGTCTACATTTCTTTGGGGTCTTTTAACCCTAACTGCCTAGCCAGTTCCTACCTCCTATTCTTATCACACCATCTTCTGAAGGGGTTACCCAAATTGCCAATAGGAAATAGGATTCTGACTGCTCTGGCTTCTTCCATGCTGAACAGGGATGCAGGGTGAGGCAACTGGAGTACCCCTTCAGTGGGTCTATCTACAAGACTCGCAAATTGCATAACTCTTGTCTCTAAGGGGAAAAGAAAGTCCTTGAATCATGAATAGATGATATGAAGGAGAAGTAAAGGAAAGAGTAATTAGCATTACAAGTTCTAGACAGGGAACTAGAAAAAAGTCAGAACAGGGCAACTTTCAATTGGAGTTTCTTTTAACATCCAGAATATATAAAGAACTCAAAAAACAAAGAATCGAGACACCAAATGGCCCAATTAAAAGATGGGCTAAAGATATAAACAGAAAGTTCTCAAAGGAACAATTAAAGATGGCTATGAGACATTAAAAAAGTGTTCAACATCATTAGTAATTAGGGAAATGCAAATTAAAACCACCCTAAGGCATCACCTTACCGTAATCAAGAGAACAAATGATATCAAATGCTGGCTAGGATGTGGAGAAAGGGGAACGCTCATTCACTGCTGGTGGAATTGCAAACTCATGCAACCTCTATGGAAAACAGTGTGGAGAATTCTCAAAAAAACTAAAAATGAACCTACCATACGACCCAGTTATACCACTCCTTGTCATACACCCAAAGGACTCATCCTATTGTAGAGACACTTGGACAACCATGTTTGTTGCAGCTCTTTTCACAATAGCTAAGAGATGGAAGCAACCTAAGTGTCCCTCAGCTGACAAGTGGTTAACAAAAATGTGGTATATTTACACAATGGAGTTCTACTCAGCAGTAAAGAAAGATGAAATAATGAAATTTGCAGGTAAATGGATGGGTCTAGAAACTGTTATACTAAGTGAAGTAACACAGACTCAGAAACATAAACAATGTATATATTGTCCCGCGTATGTGTCGCCTAGCACCAAATCCTTTTAAATTCCAGGTCCTTTTAATAAGATGATACTATACAGCAGTCTCTTCTGCATGAAATAACTACCATCATCAAGACTTCAGCTGAGCCTGATCACTAAACAGTCACAACTGGTCTTGTTGACTGTTGTGCTCATTCATTAAAGGAGTGCCAAGCAGGGTCACTGGACCATCACCTGAATATCCAGCCACCCTTCCCAGCCAACTAGTCCAGCCTTGGAAGACAATAGAAAAATGAGGAAGAACCCAATAAAGGGATGCTTTTGGAAGCCCTTGTCAAGAAACTCCAGTGGACTCTCATATGAACATTTGAAAATTACTCTCTGCATTTTTGAAAGACAGAGTCACCATCACTTGCCAGGCTAGTGAAAACATTGATGATTGATTAGCTTGATATCAGCAGAAACCAGGGGAAACTCCTAAACTCCTGATTTATAGGTCATCTAATCTGAAAACTGGTGCCCCTTTGAGGTTCAGTAGTAATGGATATGGGACAGATTTCACTCTTACCATCGGTAGCCTGGAGTCGGAAGATATTGCCACTTACTACTGTGAACAGGATGTGAGTTACCCTATCACAATGATTGAAGACACAAAAACATCATAGGGAAGCAGAAGTGCACAGCTACGCTTCCCCAGCACTTCCTGTTGGCACCTGCAACTGCTAGTGGCTGTCTCTGTAAATCTGTATTTGATGGTCACTGGGAGGATTAGGTAGAAGACACCAGGGAGACTCTTCTACATCCTAACTATCTTTCCCCCTCTTCAGTGCCAGAAGCCATAACAGGACAATGACTCTTCTGATTTAATAAAGAACTCACATATCCCCATCTGAGGCACTTTGATTTGATATCACTGGATTCATACAAAATAGGAGTCATTACAAATTGGAATTTTTCTAAATGACTTAATGAATTAATTGTTGCCATTAACTTGAATGTGGTATCTGCTAGTCAGAAAACTTGATGGTAGGACAAGCAGATCTTTGGTG